TTTTAAGTGAATAAGTGAAAAGTTCACTTTGCTTAATTAGATATTTCTATATAAATCATGTTAACTTAATGAATTTCTTTTCCTATAAAAGTTTCATAATAGAATCAGAGATATGTATAGAGTTAGTTTTGTTCTTTTTTTTCATTTGTCTGACAGCTTTTATAAAAGCAGCTTTGATAAAAATTAATTTTTGTTAAGGGATTTTTTATAATCTTACGAGATTCTTCCATTGACATAATGTTGTCACAAAATGTCAATAATACTTCGATATTTGATGTATCAAGCGAATATTGACATAGACAAAAATGAATTGTTATCATTTGTGCTCGACTTTCTTTCTTTTCTATCATGTTTCCTTGCTGTGTTCAGAAAATATAAATTTGACTTTAAGAAATAAACTGGATTCAATTAGTATATAGGATAAGAGATATTCTAAAGAATATTTATTTCCTTTTAATGTTAGAGAAACATAGTTGTTTAATTATTGGAAAGTAAACTTACAAAAATTAAAAGAATTTTTTAAAAATAATGCTTGACTCTATTGTAGTTCTTGTTCCACTAATTATCATTATATTGTTTTGAATTTTCAATAAATGAATGAATTGGATACCATTTCTTGATAGAACATAGTGAATAGATCAATCTTTTTTTTAAGTAAAAAAAAATAATCAGGGGAGATATGTAAACATATTATAATGTGTATTTTATTTATAGATGAATCGTTATTTATGTGAACCAAATCGTTTAATGCTCAATAATGCAACAGCATATCATTTTGCACAAAATTTAGGTGATATATCAGTATATATATTACCAATATTGGCGTTAGTCGGTAATTCATTGACATTACTAGTAATATTAAAAAATCCACAATTAAATTGTTCTTCATATTCTGTATATGTTAAATCATTAGCTATATCTGATACATTAGTACTTATTTTTAAATTATTTTCATATTTAAATAAAACATCCAAATATTTTTATTTTTCATCAATGTGTACAATATTAGTATTTTGTGGTGAATCTAGTGTACTTTTATCCGTATGGATTATTGTTTTAATAACAATTGAACGCACGTTAGTTGTTCTATTTCCATTACATAAAACAAAATTTGTTTCAATAAATCGTGCACGTGTCAAAATTATAATCGTAGCAATTCTAATAATAGTATTTTCATCGCGAATTTTAATTATACCAATGGATACATCCATTGAACAAAAAAATCGTTGTCATCCTATAACAAGTTGGCAGTCCTATAGACGATTAAATGCAACAATAACAGAATTTGGTTATTGTTATATTCCATTAACTATTGTTATAATTGGTAATTTTTTAATAATATGTACAGTTAAACGAGCAGTTATTCGACGACATGGTATGTTAACAAATAATTCTTATCAACAAAAACGTCCAATAGATTTACATGAAAATCAATTAATGCTTATGTTATTAATTGTAACATTAATGTTTATTGTTTATTTTGTTCCATTTACAATTATAAATGTTATATCACGATTAGGTTTACCATTTAATCATTGTTTTACACAAAAATCATTTGAAATTTATTTAGTTATACGTTCATTTACTGAATTATTAAAAGATTTAAATTTTTGTACAAATTTTATTATTTATTGTGTAAGTGGACGTCGATTTCGTTATGCATTATTTTCACTTTTCAAAGATCATCATCGTCAATCGTCTATTATTTCAAGAAATTGTAAAACGACAAGCAATCGTACTGAACTTTTATCAATACAAAATTCTCATCAAAGACCTTGTCGATTATCTCTAAAACCCACAATAGAAGAAACACAATGTTAATTTATTTTTGTTGTGTTTGTTGTTGTCTTCAGTTTCTATCGTGATGCTTATCAAAAATAATCAATAAAAAAAATATCTATTCAATTTACACCTCAAAAACCCTAGAATTCATGACGTCCTTATGTTTTTTTAAATTTCGCTCTCTTTATTGTTACACTTGGAAGTGTTTACAAGAATTACCATAAACATTCACAGCTATTGATTAATACGACCATGAGCGATATAAGCATACAGAGGGAAACACAATAGATTTATAAGATGCCGTCATCATATATAAATGTCTGAGTTGTATAACCACGGGCCAACGATTTTCTACAAGAAGTATCTTAAAATAAAATATACACTTTTATTCTAAAAAAAATCACTTATCTAAATTAACGTAATATTTATAATTGATAACTACAACGAGTTATTAATTGTTTATGCGAACATACATTATGATAAGTATTTGAGTGCTTGAAGAAGTGATTATTAAATATTCAATATATGAGCTGTTAAAGATTTTCTATGTGACTAAATAAAAGAATTTTAAATTTTATATTAAAATAAAAAATACTGATTGATTCAATAGCTATTAAAAATCTTTCCAAGTACATTATTCAATAACAAGCATGATAATTAACACATAGCATACGAATTGAAGAAAATATTCATTAGAAAACGTAAATGAAAAAAACAAACAAAAGTTTCATGTACTACCAGATATTGTATATTTACGATTTCTTAAGTTCATCTCAACATAGTAAAAAAAAAAGTAATAATAGTTTTTGCATTTCTGAATTAATTATGAATATTACATTAAGATTTTTAAACAAGATGAAAATGAACGAGAGAAACTCTTTATATACTAATCAAATATAGCTATGACTTGGGACTAGATAACAGAAAAGAAAAATAGGTACATCCATAGTTGTAGTTTGTTCTCGTTGAGTTAATGCAATCTAAACATGAAATTCTAATTCGCCAACAGTTAATCATTATTTTGATAAAGCTGCTCGTCCCCTCAAAACAAAGCTCCATTTCCGTCAGAATTATTGAAGTTAAGATAAATGCATAGACAGATATGTTGACATCGAGTCTTTCACAAATAATATAATTCTTTGTTTAGCACATCGTTATTTCCGGCTACTTTAAAAATATGCTTTTTTTGTACAAAAAAGCGGCAAATCATTTAAAAAATTTTTTTTCTCTGTTTATGTTTTTTCTAATTGCGCATTTCAAAATTCTCCAGGAAACTTCATTCTAGCCACTTGCTTTTCTTTTTATTTGCTAGAAGCATGTTAAGTTGCAGATACCTGGAAGAGTCCATTTATTAAATTAAGCTTCTTTATTATTACAGTTGTCAAATGAACTATTTTTGATGCTTGATTTGCTTAATATCTACCAAAAACGTTATGATATAAAGCTGAAAATTTTAGCATAGTCTCAGTATATCCTAGAAATTTCATGCGATTTGAATGTAGCGGACATAAAATCGATTTTCAAATGGATGGATTAATGAAGTTCAGGGTAATGAAAAAGACAAGGCTAATATCTGATTGGTGATCTATTATGTGCTAAAATTCAATGTTTGAAATAAATCTTAATACAAGGAGCACTACAAAAGTTTTTTTTTTATCAGCCCGTCAGATAAATATTCAAAGGTTGATTCCAGTGTTAATTTTCAAAGTATACCCTGTAGTGCTCAATGCACTTCTGTATTGAATTATATGAAGTCAATGGAGTGGTTTTTGAGGTCATCTTTTATCCAAGTAGTAATGAATTATTTTAACAATTGTAATAGTTACTATGTCACCATAGTTGTATTGAATGTCATGTAGCTGATATTTGAATTTTCAGAGCAGAAAATAATCATTTGAAATGAGGTCTTTAGAATATCCTAGATTTGGACATGCTTATATATGATCTTCTGCCAAAAGATTTGTTGACATCTGAAGCTTTTCGTAGTCTCGTATTTTCACAACAAAGATTTTGAATTGAAAGATTGATCTTTTGTTTCATTCTTGAGTCAGTTATAGAATTTGCATTAGATGGCTATTGGCAAGTAAACTTTCATTTGCTAGATACTAATAGCGTATAATTGATTAAACTGAATTTCATGAAGAAAATTTGAAATATTTGTTCGGCTGACTTCTTGTTTCCATAAGCCTCAGCAATTCATGAATGAATTGTTTACATTTTCATTGTCGACTACTCTATTGTATTTTTATCATGATGATTAACGTATGACCTCTCATGGACATTGATCCATCTAAATCTATTCAGTAAATAACGGTTTCATTTAATATAAAACTGCTTTTAGTCGATAGTTAGCTGCAAATGCACTCATTGAGTACAAATTTTTAAACACGAAACTAATCAAAATAATCGCTGATGAAATGCCGGTCATAATGTTCCATATTCAATGAGAACTATCTTCATTTATTGTTGAAACAGAAAATATTTTACAGCTACAACAACTGGAAGCAGTGTTCATCGAATCTGAAAATTTTTCACCCGACGAACTTTAGCCATAAGACGTTCTCAATATGGTGCATCTTCACAGTTGAAATTATTTTCTAAAAATTAATGAAATGAATTGATTAGTGTAGGATCTGAAAGTTTTATATTTTCACATGTTTATGTTAAATAGGCATGCCTTTATTCGTAATGTGCGACTACTCTCAAAGAAAACTAAAAGTACAATGAAGGATGAAACTTGTGAGTCTAGAGTTTTACACATAATCATAAGTATGCCTAAGCATTATCATAGAATATTTGTACTAAAATTATAAGTCTTAGAAGAGACAGGTGAAAAAACTTTTGGAGTGCCCTGTGTACTCCTTCTGTTCTTTGAAAAAAAAACAAAGTTTATTTTGTATTATTTACGTATATTTCAACAATATCATTATTATATCTGACTTTGCTTTTTGACCTCGAAAAAGATAACAAATGAAGCACAATCCTTCTTTTTTACTTTTCTTCATTACAACATTGTAGATAGTCTATTTGAAAAACAGCAACAACCTTAACAGTTAAAAAAAATATATAGAAATATGGATGTAAGTCGATAAAATATAAAATTTTGATTTTATTATTGGTTTTCGTTTTTTAGTCAGGACGAACACCAACATTTGCAGGTGGTCTTAATTTAGCAACTGAAAATGCTCTTGATGAAAGTGGATTTCTTGGAACTGTAAGATACTTGTTATTCTTTTTATTTTAATTTATTTCTTAAAATTTATTTATATTATTTTAAGCGTCGTGGATTCGGAAATATTCGTTGGTATGAATATACATTTCTTATACTTGGTATATTAGCTGCACTTGTTACCGATGGTTTAACAATTGCTCGTCTTGTCAATTTGGGTTCTTTGAATGATCCAGATTTTGCTTATGGTATTCTTATTCTTGTTCATTCAAGTATGAATATGATTTAAAGGCAAAAAAAAAATATTAGAATAAAATTTGTTTCTTTTCTTTAGTATTTCTTCTTCTATTTCTAATCACTGGTATATTTTATCAACGTATTACTGATATTGTTGCTTTTTTTCTCAGTGCTGTTATGCTAACTGTTTATGTTATTGCACATTATTTTGCTCGAAGACATGGTCCTGATGATAGTCATACAACTCAAGCGAAAATTCGTCTAGTAAATAAAAAATTATTATTCTATTGAGTTGTTTTGTCTTTTTATTTTTGTAGGCTCGACTTATATTTACAATTATTTTTAACGTATGTTTTATTCCACTTGCTATTATAGTTATTAAAGATTATCAACGAGATGAATTTTCAAAACGGTATATTTTTTTTTTGTGTATTGAGAAAATATTTAATTAATATATTTTTCTGATTTTTTTTTCAATAGACTTTTTGGTGCTTTTCCTACAGCACGTCTTCCACTTAAAATATATAGCATATTCGATTGTGTAGCACGTGTCAGTACAATGCTTTCGGTAGATAATTTATTTTATATTTTTAATTAAATTTACATTTAATTTTATTTAATAAGATTTCATCATTACTACTTAATTTATATAATTATACTGGTTATGAAACAATAGATCGAATTTTACTTATTGTTGGTATTCCTTTCACATTATTATGGTTAGGTATGGGTATTGGTATGGTAAGATATAAAGAAATATCTAATTATCAAAAAAAAAATATATTATTTTTTTTATTTTATTTAGGCTCGTCTAGAAAATTATATATTAGTTTGTATTTTTTATTTAATGTCACTTTTTCAATTGGGTTTCTTGGGTTATAGTCTTTATACAGTATGTTTTTTTTAGTCTTTTTTTTTCTATTTAAATATTAATAATATTAGGCAATTCAACATTCGATAGCAATATCTGGAGGAGGATCAACAACATTAACAACAACAACACAAGCAACAGCAATTAATTTAGTACCTATACTTCAAGTACTTTATGTGTGTATATCATTTAATCTTCTTGCGCATATATTATCAATGGTACTTGGATTTTGGTGTACAAGAAATTTTAATAAAGGTCTTAAAGAACGAGTATTTAATAATAAAATCGATAAATGGATACAACAACGTTGGTCAAATAAATAGATTATTGATCGAAGAGAAATTTAGAAAAAAAAAACAATAATTGTTATTTTTTCTTTTATGGTGTTTTAATTTTTGTTTGTAAGAAATAAATTTCATGATAATTACATTTATTAATAATCATAAATTTATCTTTGAATATTTTCAAAATCATGAACTAAGACTGATAGAAATAGATGAATTGTAAATCTTTCTTAGTATTTTTTTTTTAAATTCTTCATATTGGTACTGTTTGATATAATGTTAACGGTTCAATATTTTTTTGTGTGTTCTTGATAAACAACTAGAATAAATATATATGACAACATTTCTTTTTATCTTTACATAAATCTTATTACGAACGTGTTTCCTAAGAGTAAGCTTAGAGAAACTAATGAAAAATATTAGATGTTTATTACAGCCCTTTGGTCTCAAGTTCAGGTTGAAATTATGATTTTTTCAGTTTTGATATTTTTTGCTCTTTTCCTTTTTTTTGCACACAATAAAAGATATTTATTATGCATTATGACTATAGTCATATTAAACACAAATATTGGAACCAACACTTCTGAACATGATGATTAGAGTGCTTGATAGACATTAAAGATATTACTTTTCACTATAAATCTGTTGTCATCTATGTCAAATATATAAATTTGAAAAGCTTATGTCACACTTTATTGCACACATATCGTCTTTCAACCTTTTCATAAATTCAGTTTCATGATCTGTTAGTCAAATTCTACTAGATACCTTTTATGAAACATGATCTAAGAGAAGTGTTGAAGTATAGAGGTAATAATTTGGATCCCTGCCACAGACATATTAGCAACGAGTGATCACAGACCGTGTACCAATTAACGTCTTGTTATAATATATAAATTAATTTCTTATTGCATTTCTGGAAGATTAAGTAAAACAATGGTGAAGAAATAGGTCCCAAAATAGATAGAATAAAACAATCTCGTGTTTTACATTTTGGTTCGGTAGGAATTGAGGTAACGGTCTTTTTTTGTAATGTTTGAAGATGGATAAAGAAAATTTGTATGTTTTAATATCCATTGAACTTATGCATTTTCTTTCAGTGAGATAATATTAGTCATTTTGGTTTCAAGTCTCCGCTAAAAAAAGTCGATGTTCATCAGAAAAACCGAAATTAAGATGATAGCCCGAACTCTGATCTTTCATCAACGATATCATTTTTTATTTGGCATCTTGCTGTTTTCAACATTCGTCAAAAAAAACATCGATGGATAATGCAATCTGACATGCTCTTTCAAATAAAAAAAACGAAAAATATACGGGAATGAAAGTCCACAGAGAATGTTCGGTGGCCAGATGAACTATTTTTAACCTTTATTTGTTGAATACCTCCCGAAAACGTTATAGTAAAGAGCTGAAAATTTTACCATAGGCGCTCCACACTACAGCTCCAACATATCATGAAAATTTCATGCTATTTGAATGTGTCAAAGCCCAATCAATTTTTTTATTAAAAAAATTCATTCATTCTAAGGTTGAACGAATCAAATTATTTTTGCCATTTTTTTCGTTTTCTATTTATTTTTATACAGAACGTTAACAATAAATTTTTCATAACATGATATCTTGTTCCAAATTTTCATGCACAACAATAAAAAAAAGAATAGTCCTATATAAAATAAAATGACACGACTACTATAGCCTTATCAACAAAGTAAGAGCAGTAAAATCGCCTGTTCTTTTTCATATAGATCCATAAGATAGTAAAACAAAAAAATATCAATTTTTATAAACAAAAATCTAAACTTAAAGTTGTTTTCAAGCAAAAAATATTTATTAACACTTCAAAGATGTTTAAATGCAAATATTAGCTTGTGAAAAAAAAATTTGAACGATGAGATTTAATTATAAGACCACTTTGAGAAAACAAACATTCAACTATCTTTTGAGTTGATTTTGATGTTGAATTATCAACTTTTGCTTTGTTGAATAAATAATTCGAGTCAATATCATCTAACTTTCAATTCTGAATCATGATTCAGATTTGCCCAACCCTGATTCATTCATTCTTAGGTTAATTCACATAAGTCAGTAAACATATATATGCATATTTGCATCAAAATTTATTTGTCAATGTTAATTAATTTTTTGGAAAAAAAACATAATTTTCTTGGTTTTTTTTTGTTTTATAAAAATCTCAATTTAAGGACAGTATGATGATGGACCATTTGGATCAATTTCTTCAATATGTATACCATTATTACACCAACATCCGATTGGATTATTTGGGTTACGACTCGGATATGGTCTGCCATTAGGTCCACATCTAGGTGCAGCATTTGGAACGTCTGTACTGAGCAATCCTAATTAAAAAAAAATTACATTTATATTGAATTTTTTCTTCTTATATTAAATGTTACCATTACAATCACCAGCACTAATATATCCATTCTTACATGAACAAACATAAAAGATTGGTTTGCCACCAGGAGTTGTTATAATACCATCAGTTTCTACACAAATACCTTGTGTTCCACAATCTTTAATTGGGCACGCTATAAATAAATATACAAATATAATCAAATCTATATAAAAAAAAAAAAAGAAATAATTTTACTTGGTGAAAATGGACATGGTTCATTTTTAACGGCTCCTCCTTCACATATACATATATAACCACGAGTCGATTGATAATTTGGTTTACAATATCCACCACCACAACGAGGTGCTTCTCGGCATACATCTAAATTTTAAAAAAATTAAATTCTTAGCGCAAATCCTGTGGGATTAAAATGTGAAACATGCTGTTAGTGATTACTGGAAGATGGTTTTATTCTATCTATTTTGGAACATATTTCTTCACTATCGTTCGTCATGGTTTGTAATAGCCTCTGTTCACTAGAGCTCATCGGGTCCTACCTGAGCCCGATCGAATCGAGGTCTGAAACTTTTTTTCAACCGGTTCTAGGTCCAGGAATTCTTGGGCCCGATGGGTTCTGCTCACAAAAGATCAATCAATTAGGTCCGAATTCAACACTTCTTTTAGATCATGTTTAACAGAAATTATTAATTTTCTATAGAATTAGTAAATATACCTCGTGATTTTTCACATGATTCTCCTGTACGCTCTGGTGGACATGAACATATAGCTTCATAAGTAGCATTAGGATGTTTTGTGCAAACACCTGGACCACAAGTTTTATTAAGACATGGATCTAAACAACAATTAAAAAGAAAATATATAGTGTATATTTCGTAAGCAAATTAAAATACTTACCTTGACAAGGTGAACCATCAAGATGTAATCCATCATTACACTGACATACTCCAGTACCTCGAATATCACGACATACACCAAAAGCACCACAAGATTTTCCTATGCATGGATCTAAAAAAAATTTTATGCAAAAAAAAAAACAGAAAAAAAAATTTAATGAAAAATTTCTTACCAGGTATAGGAGTTTCACATCGTTGACCAGTAAAATAAGTTGGACATTTGCAGAAAAATACAGTTTCATTGAATGCTTCACAAATACCATTATTTATACATGGATTAGTATGACAAGCAGCTTGAAAAATAAACCAATGAAGAAAAACAAAAAAAACAGACATTCTTTTCAAACTATTAACTTACAAAATCTTTCACATTTAGCACCAGTAAAACGAGTAGGACATTGACAAATAAAAGCGCCTACACCTTTATTGCTACATGTTCCTCCGTTTTGACATGGATTTATTGCGTAACAACCACCTATATAATAAATTTATTCATTTAAATAAAATAAAAATCTTTTTTTTTCTATCATAAGAATAATCTTACTTTCTTCACATTTAACTAAATCAGTAATACTTCTACCAAATGTACTTGGATGATTACCACAACTACATGAATAAAATGGTGGTGAAAGTGACTGTTGACATTTTCCTTCACCACAAACACCCGGTGATTCTACACAAAGCGGTCCTGAAAATACATTCATAATTAACTTTAAAAAAAATATGATCAAAACAAATTTACTTCTAAGAGATTTTGTACAATTGACACCAGCAAAACCTCCTGTACATTCACAAAAATATCCATTGTTAATAATTCGACATGTACCATTATTTTGGCAGATTGGTGTTTCTGTATCTTTCTCATAACATGGACCTTAATAAGATAAAAGTTTTAGACATAAAAAAAAAAGAAAAATGACGAACTTAATGGGCATGAATCATTCTGTCTTGGATCTCGTCGTGTACCATCATAACATTGACAATAAACAGGGATATCAGGATCATTTGTTTGAACACATTCAGCATTTAAACATTGTATATTTGGATCAGAACATTCTATAAAAATCATAAAAACACAATAAAACTCTTGAATTAATTTCAAATATCTGTTGTTTTTTTTTTACTTGCTAATGTTTCATTACACGTTTCACCACCAAAGCCTTGAGTGCAATTGCATTTATAATCAGTCAAACCTTCAGCAACACATGTAGCTCCATTTTTACATGAATGATTACTGCAAGGATCTCCATTTTCTATTCAAAATCAATGAATATGAATTTATTTTTTTTAATTTTTTTAATTTTAGTTTTATTCTTACCGCGTGGACATGGTGTAAGTATATTAGCAGTAACAATTTCATCTCCATTACTTAGTTCACAATAACATCCTAAACGATTTTGATCTACAGCACATATTTCGCATACATGATTGACATTTAATGGACAACCAGTTTCTTCATCAATATTAGCTAGCAAAAAAAAACTGCTTATGATCAAAGTTAAATTTATAATCTATAAAATCTTACTAGATTGAGCATTGCATCTAGTCTGTATAACTATACAAGCAAAGATACTTATCACAACTAGAATCAATCGTGTATGAGACATTCTAATAGCAGAATATCAACCGAAAAAATGAAAGTGAACTAGGATCTTTTAGTTCCTCTTTCTATATATATACATATAAGACAAATCTTCTGATACTATACAAATATTTCTAGCCAAGGATTTTATTCTTTGTAAATACAAGGATTTATTATACAATGATGATACATCTAATATTTTATTAGAATAAGGATTAATCGGTTGTTTAACGGTATATTGACATCAATACACCTCTGTAAAAATTTGTTTGGCACAAACAAAAACTTAGTCAAGTAATATCAACTTTCAACCCGACCTTAACTATATCAGATTATTTATTTTCATCATAGTACAAAATCTTGAATATTTTTGTCTTTTTTTTTTTGCATGATATTTTTCCTTTTTTTCCATACTTGATAGAATAAGGAAATAAGATCTGATAATATGATTCTTTGTACCATGACAAAACTTATTATTCTATCATAAATAATTGGATTCAAAATATTGATATCAAAAAGTAAAATCAGATAAGATGTAACCCTATAATAACTACTAACGATCCACATCATAAAATTCTGATACAAGGAAGCTTGTAGACTTTAGTTTGGATGTTAGTGAAACCATTGAATTTGAGATATCCAAATAGATGTACCACGTTATCAATATGTCACACATATTTTTCACTATTTATATATTTTCGGACATCTGACAAATGCTCGATTATAAGAAAGTAAGATGCATCTGGCTGTTTAATTAAATAACTTGTGAAAACATTTTCAAATACACGATCTCCGATAAGTACGAAATACTCGATCAAGTATTTTACAAATTCGAATATTTTTTTGGACGCCCTGCTAGAATAATCTTAATAAATAAGTACCCTAAACTGATTACTTACACTAATAGAAATTTTATAGATGTCTTTTGAAAAGAAAATATGAGAATATTGACGTAAGAGAGCATGGATTTATTATTCTTTGACTAGATGAAGAAATATCGACAGATAATTACAACTATCATATACTTTGATAAGTAGAATAAACAGTTGTTTTTGATTGATTCAATTGAAGCAGATCAACTTTTTATGATGTATTCTGTTGTGTAATCGACATATGGTTTTCGTTCAAGTATAAGTGTCATCTTAAGAATATAGAGCATGTTATTTAGATTTCACTACAATCATATATATATATATAGGTTTCGTGAAGCTTAAATCAAACATTAAATAGTAACAAAAAAAAATGAATGATGATTCATTGAACAGATACAAATATCGATTTTATGTATTTTATCTTTTCTTCAAAAAAATATTTCAATTTTAAATATATATATATATTTTTTTTTTAAATTTATTTATTAGATGTCGTGTCAATTATACTAATTGTGTTTATTTTGAACTACCAAAGTCCATTTTTATTTTTTCATACACACACACACACACATATATATATATACATGGGCAAAAAAAAAGCTTGTCTACATAGTGCTCGTTACTAAGCGCAAATAATCTGTTCTCTTTTTCTTGTGTAAAATAAATTACATGAAGTAGATGATGAGTGATCGACTCTCTTGAGTATATGGTATTGCATAAAATAAAGAAAAAAGAAAAGAGAGACATTAGTGGCAGGTGGAACAAACAGACATAAACGTGTGTTCACATTTGGCTTTTTTTGGTATAAGACTTATGTAATAATGTTATGATATACTTGTATTGTAAAAGAGAAGAATCATCCAACAAACAATGAAGCATGTTGTTTAAATAACTAGCATATGAATAATAACTAAACAATATAGGTATGTAAATAATTAGATTTTTCTTAACGAAAAAAAAAAACAAATTTTACCATAGATATATATTTTTTTTTCGAAGAATTGTCTTTTGTTAAAACGTAATGTAGACATTGTAATCTATACTGCATAAAAGATCAAACAAAAAAACATTAATTCATCCCTTCTTTGTTTCATATGTTAAAATAACCTCGTAGTTTTATTTTCTTGTTTTACTAAGAAGGTTAAATCTTGAATATCGTCTTTGTTTATTTTATTGTTCTATTTGACTAGTCTCAATATTTGATATTGTGATTCCGATGCTGATGATAAGAAGCATATCATGTTAGCAACTACCATATTCAATGTTTGAATTCTTCCATCTTTTCTTTTCTCTTGAAACGAGCCGTCTACTATTGAATAAAGTTGAGTGTTCGGTACCGATATAATCATATACGTGCGCTAAGTAGGAGAACAGAAGCACAGGTATTGAATGTGTGTATGTATTATTTTCCTTTTTCATATACTTGTGCCTTTGCACAATAAAGTAAGTTGAAGCAACAAAAGAAAAGAAAAAGAAGACTGATTGATACAGTAGACATGAAATGATTAAACATTAAGTTCAAAAGAACATAGACGAAAGGCAGTCATTAATATTCTAACAATTACATGTATTACTATACAATATTTCGATAAGTAGAAATAGAAAAATGCCAAGTTTCTTGATAATTATAGATGTGAGAGTTTATCATTAAACTTCTTTATCAATCTTCTCCTACTCATGTATATTGCCTGCTTGTCATTTCTTATAAAGACTCATCACATTCATTTGTGATTTTTTGAATGTGATTGATATAGACAGACATTTATATTAAGAACTATAGTTAGATAAACGATAAATCGCCAAATAATCGAAAAAACAAACTCCACTGAGTATCACATTCATGTTTCTTTTCTTTTTCAATAAGTTAATAGACAAAATAAATGAAATTTATTATTTCATTATGATATATAAAATGAATGAAAAAAAAAGTTGACAGTAGAACATTAGTTTTTATACATTTACGCCAACACTCTGATTCAATTTGATTAAATATGAACAATCGACGAAAGATTGATCAATCTTTTTTTTTTTAACATCAATCGAGGCGACTATATAAAACATATTTCTCTTTCTATTCTCTTGCCTGCAATTATCACATCACGCATCATGAACAAAAACTTGATGGTGGCTGTTGGTCAATCAGTCAGACATATGTATATACATACATATAAGTAGTATCTTATTATTTTCAATTGTCTACAATGCAACTAGAAAATGTTCCTGTTACTCAATTAACAGATAGAATATATTCATTTAACGGTAAATGATAGAGAAATTTTATTTATTGTAGATGACTACTGATCATATTTGTCCATGTGAACTTATATTAAAAATTGGTTGTAATGAATATGATGAAATTTCAACAGCTATAAATAGTCTTCTACGTTCATGTTTCATAAATGATCAAAAATTTTTTTCTGTTGAACGTCAAATTCAACCAACAACATATTTTGGTTCATTTACAACACATTCAACAACATCAAAAATTCCAATTCAATGTCAATCATTAAGTTGTGTGATATTTTTACCTGATGAAATTCTTAAAAACAATGAAAAAAAAGATTTTTTTAAATCTATACATATATGGAATTTTCATCATAAAATTGAATTATTAGATGAATATAAACAAATTATAGCAAGACAAGATTATTATGAATTATCTCATTTATTACCATTATGGTCAATATCACATATTCGATATAATCGACAAATAATTATACGTTTTAATATATTTACAAAAAATTTTGATTTAATGTTAAAATTTTATAAACATTTATTTCAACGTAAACCTAATTCAAGTAAAACTGGTTTTGTACTTTTTAATTTATCATCATCAATTAATAGCAAATTACTTTATCAATTTTCTATTAAATATTCTCCATCAATTCAATCATATACAATATCTCAAGGAGCTTATTTAAAATTTCGATTAAATAATTTAAATAATTTTATTCATGAATATACAAGTAAATTATTTACAATAAATAAATATGAATATTATATTTATGATCCAGATGGAAATCTTCTTCATTTATATTTACATAATATATCATCGAATACAAAAGAATGTATATCATTAAAACCATCAATACATACAAATGATAGTGGTTTTGGTGATAGTAGTGATCCATCAATGCAATTATTTAATTCAAATATATCACAAATTTATCCACTAAATAATGATATTGATGGTCAAAGTTATTCATCAAATGATTCTGCTCAATGTAGTTCTTTATCATCAAATGAATTAAATACAATAAAACCGACAGTTCATCATAATCATGTTACTTCAAAGAACAATATATCAGTTCGATCAGCAAAAAAAAGTGAAATTGATTATAGACTAAAACAACAACAAAGAACAGGTTAGATTTGATGTTATTATAATGTCGCTTGTTATTGATCGTTTTTGTTGTTAAACATGAACATAATATCAATAGATCTTTCTAGAAGATAATTAATGATTATTTCATTTTATAATGTTGTCACCGAGAAGAGTTAAAAAGACATTTCTTTTTCTGTTTCTCGTCATTGAGAACTTCGTTTTGATTGAATTCGACAATAGTACATTTCTAAGTCCTACAAGTCGTCAATGCCAATATAAACTAGGCATTATTATCATTCGACATGTACTGGTATCAGTTAACTAGTATCAGTCTATGAGTTAAAAACGAAAACTGATCCATACCTAGTCATCATAGTTTTATGTAATAGAGTTCATCAAGTTCAAATCGAAAAAAAACTCGATTAACTTTATGATATGTATCCATTATAATTTCAATACAAGACTTAGACTTAGCTTAGTCTGGGTCTGCAATACATTCGACAGGTTGCGATATAGAGTCATGATGCATCATTCTCGAAAATATATTAGATTTGAGATCAACACTACAAAAACCTTGACCATTCAAATTAATGAATCATCTTCTTTTTTTTCTAGTGCTTCCTCATCTTTCTCTAAAATATCCGTCATGGCAACCATCGTTATATCTTAGTGAACCACATTTGTCAAATATAATAAACTATAATAATCGATATTATTCATCAATGAATAATATGGAAAAATCGAATAAAATTCATTCATTTTCAACTAATTATTTCCAATCACCAATATTAAAAAATTCAAATAATAATGATTATGATACTTCCTATGGAGTCGATTCTCCACATATACAATCAGAAACATTAATAAATCCATCTACATACGGTTATCTTAATGCATTTTTGTTAAAAAAACAACAACAACAACAACAACAACAACAACAACAATGTATTCATTCACATAAATTCAAAGAAAACGTTGCTCAATTTGAAGGATCAAATATAATATCAATGACATCACGACCAAAATCAGCACCATTAACTGATCAATCATCATTATCACTGTGGAAACCAACCGAAATTCTTCCACAACAACGTATTCATAATACATCAACACCGATATCATATAAATCTTCACAATTATGTGCGAAATCTTTAACATATGAATTGGAAAATTCTAATAACGATACATTGAATACAGATGATGAAAAGATAAATAATACAGTGAATCAAATACGAAGTCCACGAATTAATATTGGTATAACATTAGATTCTCGTTTAAGAAAAACACCTGTACTTGATATGTTAAGAAGTACAACGATGCAATCAGATATAATCGAACCGAAACAATTGAATAGAACAAATTCATTACGACATACATTTATACCAATTGCACGGTTTTAAAAATAGAATCAGTTGTTTTTTCGTATTTTATCATTGTAAATAAAAATAAAAGAATAAAATTGAGAAAGTTTATTCAATATGATTTTCATGTGAAAAAAATCTCCAAAACTCTAATAGCATATATTTAACTACTGAGTATTTGTGTCATAATTAAATTCTGCTTATCTAATACATGAAGCAATACTCTATTACTTGATTGATGATAAATTTAGCCTTTTATTGCCTGATATACCTCATCTAATTATTGTTATTGTTAACTCTTTGTTAAAAATATAAATACGAAAAACACCTATCGATTTGATACGTTCATTTTAAATTGAAGATGTTCATAAGAAGACTATTCTAAAGTGGCGGACAAAAAATTAGAACACTATTTGTTTGGCGATTTTTCTTATGAAGCATAACTTGTTGAAGACAATCAAATAGTAATTTCGATAGCTCTCGGAACGGGCTACAATTCTGTGAAGTCAAAATTCCTTTAGATATATTGTTTTAATATTAATGACAGAAACTAGTTTTTCCCAACGGACAAAAGTTTAAAGCATTTTTAATACTTTATTAACTTTTTCCTCTTGAATCATTATTAAAAGCTCTTTTGTATATCTTTTATATATCATTCTATGCAGAATTGAATGACCTATATTTTGATAAAAAGCACTTTTTGAATATTATTATTTTTAATTAATTAATAATAATTTAATTTAATCAATATTAATTAATAGATATAGAAAAGTGTAGTTTTAATTTTCAACTTTCAAGTATGTCATTAGAAAGAGCGTTAAAAACTGAAGAAAATGGTATATCACTTTGGCCAAAGTGACTTGTTTTTCGTAGGATTTTAGTAGAATAATAAATAGTTTGGTGAATTTCACTAGTATATTGTACTGTTATTTTAGTATGGTTAAACATTAGAATGCAATTTCAAAACTTGGCATTAAGTGTATTTTGTAGAGCAGACTTTATACTTTCGAATGAGACCTAACTGCTTTCTTCATAAGGCATCGTTAAGTTGGCGCAAGGTTTTAGTTTTCATGAGCAATTTCAGTAACATTTTACAGCAGTTTTTAGTTCTTTTTTTGAGGTAAAACGCTTTATCAAACTAAAAATGTTGCACCAACTTGACAATACATTATGAAGAAGACAGTCAGGTCTCGTTCGAAAGTCTAAAGTCTGCTCTACAAAATACACTTAATGCCAAGTTTTGAAATTGCATTCTAATGTTTAACCATACTAAAATAACAGTACAGCATACGAGTGAAATTCACTAAACTGTTTATTATTCTACTAAAATTCTACGAAAACAAGTCATTTTGGCCAAAGTGATATACCATTTTCTTCAGTTTTTAACGCTCTTTCTAATGGCATACTTGAAAGTTGAAAATTAAAACTAAACATTTCTATATCTATTAATTAACCCTAGTACTATCAGCCGGGGTCATTTTTGACCTCGACTCAAAAATTTCAACATACACTAGAAAGATTATATTTCTTCCTGGTTTTTAGAAGCAACTAGCATTTCTCACGAATAGATGTACGTTGTTGAATCTAAAAAGAAGTTCATTTGTTCTCTACATTATTACAAGCCTTCGGTGGAATAACATGTCTTCAGTATACAACAAACATATAACAAGAAAGTAGTACAAGTTAAATTTTCGAAACTGCAATGCAATGAGTTATTTACTATTCCAACTGAATATTTCAGATCCATTAAAAAATATTTTTTTGAAGTGGTTTTGAGCCATCCCATTAGAATGGTAGATGATTCATTCAACTGTGGATTAATGGTTGACTTGCCTCTTTTTCTTGTTCCATATTTATTGAGTAATGAGGTTATTATATCATATTAAAGGTGTGTAATGATATAGAAAAAAAAATGAATTGCTTTTTAGGTTCAACAACATATATCTACGTATATCTATTAGTAAGGCATGTTAGTTGTTTCCAGAAACCAGGAAAAAAGTAAAATCTTTTTAGTGTATTGTGAAATTTTTGAGTCCAACTCAAAAATGACCTAGGCTGGTAGTACCAGGATTAAATAGATAAATTTTATATCAAATATAAGAATGAATTTATTTTCTTTCTTATATAAAAGTTGATATATCAAAATGTTTTATTATCTTAATAATTTACGCATAGAAACATGTTCTAGTCTCAAATTAGTAATAATCAACTTCTATTTTGATAATCAAATAAAATTGTTTTTTTTTTTATATTTCCTATACAAGAAAATTCCGCTTGAATTGATGTCTACTCATTTGAAAATTAAATTTTCTTGATCTAAAATCTATAATTATCATTTAAACGTCTTATATTTGTCCTTGAAAAAAATATTTCTTATGTTTTCAAAACAATTTTTCTTTTCTTTTTGTGCTTGACTTTCACAAAAAAGAAAAAAAAATCAAAATACAAACATTCAATGAATATCGAAGTATTAAATTTCATTTTGTCATAATTATATATTTCTAAATATAGACATAAAATAGTGATAACAATAAAAAAAAACCAAAATTGAAAAAAAGTCATAGATTTTTTTTTCTTCTTTTGATTCTATTAGATTTTTCAATCTGAGCGTCGATTCCGATCTATCATTGCACATTAATTATCTTTGCCGAATCGAATAATCAAGTTGATTTCGACAAAAATACGCCCAAATTTCATTTTGCCTTTCAATTATAAACTAATTCAATTATTAGATACATTAAAACTATTATCAATAACAAAATGCTTCTTAGAAATATATGTTTAGATTATTCCGAACTTTCTAGTCATGATAAGAATTTTCTATAACGTTGCTTGTTTTTTTTTTCGATAGAATTTGTCTTTTTCCTTATGTGAAAATAAAACACACAGAAGCCCAAAAAAAAAAGAATTTTAAGAATACAAAAAGGCACTAAAAATGACAATGACGACAATAATGACAAAGCAAAAGAGAAAAAAAAAAGAAAAGATTGAAGAGCAATGTGAAGATGATGCACAAAAGGAGAAGGAGACAGAAGGAGCAAAGTGAAGAATTGCGAGACAATTAAACCCATCGATTGAAACCTTAATGGATTCATAAAACATTTAGTTGCTATGTTATTGTTTATTTTCACCACCGGACACGCTAATTGTTGATATTCAGGATGTACTCGAAAATTTTTAGTGCTTAATAAAGGATTAACAAGCGGACGGCAAGATCAGCAGTATTTAGATTTGCTGAGAAAAAAAAAAGAGAAAAGAAAAGACGTCATTTTTCGCCACCAGTCAATGCTCGATTGGTGCGTGCAACAATAATATTAATTAAACGTTGAAAAGATTTTTGGCGATTATCCGTCCATTTGTCGCGTAAACCAAATTCCATGGTATGATTAAGACCATCAACGATGGCCTATTAAAATTTAAAGGAAAATATAATAAATTAAAATATATATATTAAAAAAAAAACTTACTTGGATATGTTCAGATTTAACTTCATAATTTTTATGACGAATACCAATATCATGTAACATTTTAAATAATTCTTCAGGTTTGTCAACAACAATAATAAGATCATCTAATGAATTAAAAAATTTTGAACCATGATTTCTTAAATCCATTTTCCAGCGATTAGCTGTATTAGGAGCATCTGTATCATCACCAGCTGTTGTTGTTGCATTGTTATTATTCAAAACGCGGGAATTTTGCCAAAGTGATTTTATATCTGGACATTTTTGAAAGATCCTATTCGATAGAAGAAAAAAACCCAAACAAATAAATAAATTGATCTTCTTCTTATTCTCTCCTCACTTGAGACATTAAACGATTAACCTTTTGTTTCTTTATTGAAAGATAATTTATTTTATATGCAAGTAAATGCAAATAAATTATAGCACAGAATGTGATCATTTTCGTCTGTATTTATGGATGTTGTTTTTTTTTCTTTCTCTTACTTCTATCATCAAGAAAAGCTTTTGAGAGAAAAAAAAAGACATAACTAGGCATGTTCGATAGCGCGCGAAGTGTGAATTAATCTGCATGATATTAGTTCCTAGCTGTTGCGCATGCCCCATATATATATACTTGTAATATACATATAAACAATCAAGCTAGTATTAATTGAGACTAGGAGAAAAAAAAACAATCAATTCAATGAATATTGTTCTCGCTGATTATGTGCAACTGCACTATATATAAATATAAATGTAAAATATTTTGTACATCAAATTTTTTTCGAAAAGAATAGAATGAAACATTGAGTAGTAAATCTTCTAATTCATATTTTAAGATTTAATAAGTAGAAAATAAACTTGAGCATATTTTATATTGCAATTCTTTTGAGAATAATATACATGAAAAAATCATTGACCCATTTCTTTTCTCTATTCTTTGCTCTTAGGCATAAATCAAGAAAATGATATATGAGGGGAGATGAAAAACTGATGCTAGTTCGCTGAACGTTTTCTTTTTAATAATAAGAATAATAATAATCATATAGTCTATTTTTCTCAAGAGATATATTCACTGTTTAACTTACCTGAGCATGAGTCGTTGACCATATTCACCATAGGCTTCTCTGCCTACCATTTTCCATGTTTCTCTAATGATTCTCACGTCGTCAGGCGTTAATGCTTCAGGTTCAATTTTAGCCTGACTGCAACCCATGATCTTTGTATTCTGATAATTGTTTTCTCTATCACTGTCTGTCTGTTTACAAGTTCAAACTTGTTGTTGGATAAGAAGAAAGAAGAAAAGACATTGTCCAATTGACATTCATCGGTAGTTTATATGAAAATTCCACGTTATCTTAGATAGAGAATATGTTGGCACGCGGTTTTCTTTTTTTTTTGTTTTTTCAAGGAAAAATAAAGAAATCGATAGAAATCGTAAATGTCAAAAGAAGGACCAGTAGCAGCAGTAGTAATAGTCGTACGGTCGAAACATCGACGACGAGAAAACGGCAGTAGCAGTAACGTCGATGATCAGAGGAACGGCAGGCCCGAACGAGACAAAGCAATGATGATTATACGACAGAAGCAGCGACAGTGACGGTGGCGAATCGCTCTTGCTGTTGTTGTTTGTTGTCATCCTCCTATAATAGTAGTAGTGCATCACAGCAAAAAAAAAGAAGAAGAAAAAATACAGACTGAGAAAAAGATTCGGTTGTGTCGAAGGGAAGAAAGAGAGAGAGAGAGACAGAGCAGTCTCTTCAAATCATAAGGAATGCAAGTGGCAACTAAAGTGCTTGTGCACATACATACAAACACATCCAAAATCATTCCTCTTTATCATGATGATGATCGTCATTAACCACTGAAGTCACAAGTAATCGACATGCACGCTTGCGAAATAGGAGACATTGAAAAATTAGTCTATTATTAGATATTTTCTTTTTTTTTGCCTATTTGTCAATCTATATAAAATAAACATTTTTTTTTTTTGATATATATATTTCATAGAAAGGTCAGAAATAATTTTTATAAAGATCGGTGAGTATAAAAAAATCTCATAGTCGAATAAACTTATCATTGATGTATAGCAGAGAGATATTTAAAAAAAAGATTTGGTTCTGTTTATTAGACAACGAGAAAAAAGAAAATATAAACTGATGGTTGACTTAGATTGAATATCAATTATTTATATCTATGATAGGATTTTAATCTTTTTCTAAAGAAACATGTTGCATTATGGAAGTCAGAAGTAGAATTCTTATTAGACGTACTTTTTGTTAGATTAAATCGAATATATTTAATTCATTAATTGTTTATTTGAGAATCTACTTGACATCTTCTCCGATTTTACTCTTTTCTTCAAAATAAAACAATAATAATTATTCGCTCTTCTAGAGAGATTCTAATATTCTCATCATTTTTTATGTGATACTTACAATAGGTATGTGTAAATGAACTGGTGAAATAAATACAGCTATTGTGCTTCATTTCTATTTTCTTCTCTCTCTTTCTCTCTCTCTCTCTCTCTCTCTCACACACACACACACACACACACACACACACACACACATTCGTATTCCTTTTTTTCTCGTCGCAATTCTTCTTATTTTACTCGTCTACTCTTCCATGCGTTCCTATCTTTTTTATATGCTCCTGGTGCTTGCTCACTCTGTTTAGTAAGACATTTGTTCGCGCCAGCCAGTCTGTCTGTCTCACGCAGCTCGTATTTTTCTCTCCCCCCCAGTTCTCCCTCCCTGTCGTTTTATGCTTTTTCCACTATAATAAACTGAGAGAATAATATAAAAAAAAAAGAAAAGAAAAGTGTCATGAGCGACGCGCTTGCTTTCGCTGAACTAACAGGACGAGTATGAATTCCGAGGTTTTTCATCTTTTTCTACCGAGAATACAAAAGGGAGTTATTTGCATCATTCTCTTCTTGTTTTCCATCATCATCATCATCATAATTATCAGCGTTTTTCTTTCATTATAGTCTCTTAGTTTGCTTTTCTGTTCTATTCTGTCACTACAACTTCTAATATTACATCTGTAAATCTGTTAATAGATTTTTAAAAAGGATAAGCATTGCCGTTCTGACTATCAACGAACGACAAAGCAAACAAGAAATAAATGAGATGCACGCTCAGTTTTCTTCTCCTATCTTTTTTTTTGTTTCCGTTATGTCGAGACATGTTTTCATGCGAACGGATGAAAAATGATCTAGGTGTCGTAGCTATTTTGTTCTCGACGAGAACGATAATGATGTCATTAATGAATGTTGTATCTGTAATTGAATCGAAAGCTCGTATTTGTACCAGAACAAGTTCTGTGAACATTACTGACAGATGCACTAGGGCTAGAACGGAAATAGAAAAGCTTCTTAATCGAATTGGTCTGATCGACAACTATACGACTATATTGAATGGTTCTATTTGCTTATTATTACGATGTACTTTTGTTTTTAGAATTGCACATCACATTTACCACGGAAATAACATATGACAGGAGGAGAAAGACTAAAAAAAGATAGACAGAACATCCCAAAAGATTACTTTCTTGATTGATTATCACGACAACATCGCTTTATATTTATATGACCGATCTAATAATATAAATCTATGCTCTATGAAAAAAGAAAAAGCCTAGTAGTCATCTATGCTAAATTGAAGATTAAGAAATATCTGATAATAAGAAAAAAAAAACTCATCTTTATTAGCAAAAAAACCTTTGCATGTTGGATGAGTCTGTCAAACACAGTAAAGGAAATGAAACGACGTGCATGTTATTAGCAAAGAAAAAGACTAACTTTTTGATTAAAAAGCTCTACCTTTGATAGTGAAATAGAAAACAAGAAAAGATCAAAAATCAAAAGAAACTGACTACATCTAATAAATTAAAAATTTTTTCAAAATAAATAATTCAAGTACGTCTTCAATTACAATTGATGAACAAGATAATCTTTGTATCATGAATAAGAATTCAAATAAGCCAACTTTATAAAATATTAATATTTGATTTTATTTATTAGGTAAATAGAAAGATATACTATATCTATTAATAGTGATAAACTATAGAAATTTAGCAAACATGTAATCTTTAGAATGATTGTAAGAAAAATTTTGAATAAACTCTTTTATGATATCCCATCGTTAATCCTTGCCTTCTACAATCAATTTAGAACTATTCTAATGAAAGGTAATATCATTATATTTATTCTTGTATTAAACAATATTGAATCATTACGTGCCAATCATTTTGGATGCACTGATGTGACTGCAAATCATTAATATATAAAGGTTGCCGAATTAACGAACTTGTTCTTTTCCTTCTGACTCATTGATTAAAAACTTCTCGCTCATAGACATGACCATCAAAAGCACGAACAGAATATTGAAATAGTTCATGTATAATTAGAAAAATTATATTTAATTCATCATTTGTGTTCTCGAGCGAAGACACTGATGCTGCGTGCAGTTATAAAAGGAAAAAAAGCCGATGATGATCTCACCATCGCATCAAAAATTTAGTACAAAAAATTGATAATCTTCTCATGTGAACTATAATAGACTGTTTTTCTAAGAATATTGATGAAGAAAAATAATAGGAAAAAAATTTTCTATTGATGAAATTGTGAAAAGAAAAATCTGTTTTCTAGTCATAAATAAAGATATATGAATCGAACAGAACAATCTTATACATACATTCATAAAACAAAAGAGAAAATATTGCAACACATCTGAATAGAATTAGCAGTTACAAATTATATCATTAAATCATTGTAATGATAAAATAGTTTAACAAATGAAAATTCAATTGTAGATCACAAACAACAAAAATAACACTAACAAATCTGTGTTCTTTCAATTATAGATACATATATTAGCTATCTCTACTCATTTTTTCCTAATCATGATATACGAGAAAGAAGTTATATAAACAAAAATAAGCTTTTAAGAAGATTAATTTCTAAAAAAAAAAGGAATATATGACTTTAATCTGTAGCATGAAACCTTTTTTTTCTCTTTTCAGCATAATTTGCTTTTTTTTGTGGGCTTTTAAGTAACAGAGGGTATTTGATATTACCTTACATCCTTTTTTTTTGTAGTCACTGAAAAAATAGATGAAGATTACTATTGGAAAAAAACATAGAATTACGCCAGCCAAAAAATAAATCACAATATATGTTGATGCAAATAACTGTTTACATAGTTTTCATATGATTAATTGAAAGAATAACATGCATATAATTAGAATTTATCTTTGCGCTTGACATATTGAATCAATGGTTGACTATAATACAAAACAATCATCTCCCCATACGTAATATCTTCTCTCTTTTTGTTTATAACAAAACTAATTTATAAGTTTTTAATATTATGTTAAATGAATCATTATAGAAAATAATCTCACACTAATCTCGTAATGATCGAAATTCGATGTTGAACACTAGTGATCGACCAGCTTCCAGTTCAAAATTCAGATTAAATGAATGAACGAACTGTTTGAACAGACCAGATCATATCCTAAGATTGGTTTCAATAGTTCAACTCCAGGAACTGAGCTGTTTGAAAAAAATGTTATTATTTGTTAATGGCACTTCAGTAACAGAACAAAAGTTTTTGTATACCGCAATGTGTCATTTCCAAAAACGTCACATAAGTTTCTTTGAAAAAGCTAGACAGTGCAACTTCCTTGGGGCTGAAATATGGAATGCACATATGTTCTTTAGTCTCATTATACTAATACAAAATACATAAAGTGAAAAAGTTCTCACAAACTAAAGTTGTTTCCCAAGATAATCGATCCCCAGAGAAGCAATCCGTCTTATTTATTTGTATATTTCTAATAAAAAAATTTTTTCTGTTTTTACTGGCATCTTTTTTTTTTGTTTATCTTCTTGCTATTCGCTCATTATTTTTCTTAATTTAACATTTTTATTATTCAAGTCATTAATTTAACTGTTAAATAAGCCTGTTATACATATCTATCAAATCTACAGCAGATCTCAACGCACTCGTATATATCTCGATAAGCTCACAAACACTGATATTGATCATTTCCTACAGTTTTAACTTGATCAGTAAACTTTTTTTTTAATATTAATCATATGACGATTGTAATACATCAATGCATCATTATTCATCATACTTGACATATTGAACATAAACTTTTATCTGCACAAAAGTCAAAAACTGCATTATTTAGCATATTCGAATA